GAATTCGGGGTCATTTTGGGGAGAATTCAGGGTGTATTTGGGGGTTTTACAGCTTTAGGGGTGCTAAGCACTGGGCAGCCTGCTGGATCAGCAGCTCCTTGCTCTTGGCGTCCAGCTCTTCCACTTCAGGACCCCTTGTCTGACCCAAAAAGTGGGCATTTAGCAGGAAAACGGTGCTGTGACGGGCTGAGGGTCTTTGGGGGGGGGGTTGAGGGTCATTTGGGGGGGAAGGGTTGTGGCTTTAAGGGTGCTAAGGCACCAGGCAGCCTGCAGGATCAGCAGCTCCTTGCTGTTTCTGCTCAGCTATCTGACCCCACGGCCCCTCATCTGCTCCAAAAAGTGGGCATTTAGCAGGAAAAAGATGAGTTGGGGGTCTTTGGGGGTCATTTATGGGGGGAATTCGGGGTCATTTTGGGGAGAATTCAGGGTGTATTTGGGGGTTTTACAGCTTTAAGGGTGCTAAGCACTGGGCAGCCTGCAGGATCAGCAGCTCCTTGCTGTTTCTGCTCAGCTATTTGACCCCAGGGCCCCTCATCTGCTCCAAAAAGTGGGGATTTAGCAGGAAAACGGTGCTGTGATGGGTTGGGGGTCTTTGAGGGTCTTTTGGGGGGGGGGGGGGGGGTTCAGGGTCATCTTGGGGGAGTTTCAGGGAGATTTTGTGGCTTTAAGAGTGCTAAGGCACACTCTGCTCTTTGTGCTGAGTTATCCGCCCTTAAGATCCCTCATTTGATCCAAAAAGTGAGGATTTTGCAGCAAAATGGGTTTGTTTGGTTGTTGTTTTTCTTTTTGGGGGGGGGGGTTTATTTGGGGAGGGGGGTTTTACCCTCATCTGGTGCAGCACCAGCTCCGTGCCCAGGATGTTGTAACGTTTCTCCTGGTTCTCTGCGCTGTGTTTTTGAGCCCATTGGGTTTTCCCAGAGCCCGGCAGCCCCACCATCAGCAGCACCTTGGGGATGGGGAGGGGGGCACAGTGAGGAAGACCCCCCCCCTCAAATTTGGTCGTTCCCCCATCCACAAAAGAAGCATTTCTTTCACTCTCGCTCCTCAAATGAATATTTCTCCCCCCCAAAAAATGTCTATTTGTCATTTCAAGACTCACACTACTCCCCA